ACTTCATAAATTCCTCCCCCCTCCCCCCCATCCAGCCCCCCGACGTGTAATAGGAAGAAGTCTATGTAGAGTACTGCAAAAAGACAGCAAATCCTAAGTCAACGTAAAACAATGATGTAGATAAGGCTAGGGACAAACAAAGATTTAAGGTAATTTTGGGTACAGCCTCACATTTTTAATACTTCTTCATTTGCAAATAAAGGGGAGTTTTTTGGAGTCTCGGTATGCAAACACTCACGCTAACCTCAACATATAAAATCAACTGCTATATAAAGATTGTGACAGTGGCATTAACTGCCTGGGATTTTCTTTTTTGTTGGTTGCATTTAAAAACGTATTTTACAGGTGCTTTAGGCAAAACAAACCTAAATTATTAGCAGCAGTAGAAATTCAGAACTTTGCAAACATTTAAGCTTATTTCTCACAATTTGCAGGAAAGCTCTTTAAAAATCTGTGCACTTATGATGAAAACCCAGCTCCCTATTCCCTTTTAATAAAAAAAAGACCTTAAAAAAAAAGATCTGATCACTATTGTTTGAAAGCACTCGAAAGCAATAAGATGGTCACAAGACTTGATCTGACTGTTCTGCCCCTTTACAAACTCAATAAAGCTTGCTTTTTATGACTGATTGCTGTGCTGTATTAATCCCCTAGCATATAAAACAAGCCTATTGGAGACTGGGACTCCACCGGGGGAGGACAGGGAAGCTGTTGTGTTCTGAGAATTAATCCATCTAGGAAAATCAAAAGCCAGCCACTCACAATACAGTAATCAGCATGTTCTCCACTGTGAAAGCCCTACATTTCCCATTTAGAAAACACAACTATTACTCCATTATGTACTGAAACACACAAAACCCTTTTATTTATTTGTGTTTGTTATTATTTGCCTTATATTTATGGGTTTGTGCATATTCCATTGGTGGGTACACAACCATCAAGTTAAAAAAAAAAACCCAAACAAAACAAAACAAAATCTATTCCCAACTGCTTAAAAGGAAAAAGGGACTCCCACTGCTTTTTCCACAACCAAAGTTCTTTCTGGATTTGCTTTGTGAACAGGATTTTAACTCTTTATTAGCCTAAATAGAAGGAAATTCTTTGCATTTTTTCCCTAAACAAAGTTCATTTTCTTTTCAGGATAATTGTTATTTTTTTTCCTCGCTTTGTTAAATTATCTAACATGCGCTTCCTAAGTACTGGTGCTAAAATAAAGAAGTCTGAGGTTTTATAATTACTCAACTGAAAACTACTTCATTTCTAGGTGCTATTATATTTGATGCTCCTTTGTCAGCAAAAATTTAATTCTTTCCTTTTAAAGATGAATGATGTAGCCTTCTGAATAAAACAGTTGGTTTGTTTTTTTTTTTTAAGAGTAGAATTCGTTTTTTTGCCATTTAGGTGCTGGAAGTATGAATTTTCCGTTGTGTTATGGCAATAAAGATTAAAAAACCCAAAGAAAACCAGCTGTAAATCTGATGTGACACAGTAATTAAACTGATAAATGAATTCTGGCCTAAACACAAGGCTCATGGAAAACATTGAGAAACCACAATCTGATAGACCGTGTGCTCAAGAAGAACCAAAAACATACATCTTTTTCCATTCAGCTAGCAAAAGGCTGTAAGAAATTACTTCAACCAGCGCTTAAACACAACAGTTTCAATAGCCTCTGAAATGTTCCTGTCAAATTATTTTTTAAAAAGCAAATAAAGCACTTTGCTTATACTCATATTTATTCTTTGCTAAAACAAAGAACACTTTTCTCCCCCATTTGTTTTTCAAGCAAGAAGTCACTACAAGCAACAAAAGTTACAGTCTTTGTTCCTATTGCCATCATCCCTTTACATACATCCTTTGCTTAATAAACGGCTAGAGACTGGAGTTTCATATCATTGCCTTTAAAACCAACAGGTGACTAAAATCGCACTAGGTCAATTCCATAGTCCCACCTGGTCAGCATGGTAGACACTGAAATCTTGTGGTTAACTTGAAAAGATCTTAGTAGTCTGACTATACTCCCCATCGCTTTTAAGCATTACTATGTATTTCTCATAGTTCAAAGTACCATGTGTTTTTTTCCATTTTTAAATCAAAAAACGAATTGGGAGGAGCAAAAGCTGATGCACATGGCTGAGTGTCAGTTACATGTACATGTAGTTTTATGACATAAACCTGCCTTTCCATTTAAGAATGGCATTAAACGATGACAACAACGTGAACAATTTAAACTTTTCTGGGACCTTCCTGTTAGACACAACTGCAGATAACCAAATGACAGCAAGGATATACAAGCGCTAGTAGTATTAAGCTGTAATTCTTGTTTTGCTTAGGCATGGAGGATTACATTTCTTGGCTACCAGGGCAAAGCTAGGGCACTCACAGAGTTAACCGTGCCCCGCCCCC